TTAATACTTTCATAATGTTTAACAGTTGCAATCATTTAGCACTTAGGTATTAGCAATATGCGACCTTATATTTTATAGTCATTTGCCACTGCTTCAAAGATTACTAAATGATTTGATATCATCTAACAAAAATGATAATACAGAAACTAATGATTTAATGTCTATAGTTGCTTCTATCAAAACTGTATTAGCTATAGTCTCTCTTATATAAACAACATTGCTTATAGTTTCTTTTATTAAAACATTATCGCCTATAGTCTCTTCTATCCAAATAGTATCATTATAAATGGGCAAAATGTATATTTTAAGCTATGCTATGCGTATTATGCAAAAATACGCATAGTAAGTATGATGCATATGACTGATATTTATATGATTAAAATTATGATTAATTATTTTGTTAAAGCAAATTTTTGATAAATTTAGTGAAGTATAAAATCGATTTATATAAAATTCTTTCAACATAATTTATTGGCAAATTTTTAATATAAGGAATATTTAGACAAATCTTATTATAAAACAGGTTATATTAACTAGAATAACTATATCATTATATATATATCTATTAATTTAATGCAAATTTTTTTTATTTATATAACAAATACAAATTTGCAAAAAAAAATTAATTATTCATTTCCACTTTCTATTTTATCATCTACTTCACTATCAGTTTCTTTGATATTAAATAATTTTCAAACAATTTTTTACCTTTATTCTTAGCAAATATTTCTTCATATAAATTATTTGAGTTATTATCTATTGGATTTAGTAACTCAGATTTTGAAATAGCTTATTATTAAACTGTTTTGCTGCTTGTGCAATATCAGAAAATTTGTGCTATAAACAAGTAAGTTAATGATTACTAAATATATATACTAATTTTAATACTTGTTTATTAGTTAATTTTACTCTTTTTTTTTGAATATAAGAGAAGGTTGATCAATTTTGTTCAAAAGCTGTCAATGATAAAGGAATTGAAAGAATTCTAGTAGCAATTTTATATAATATAGATGTTGATATCTCAAAGTTTTCTTTTCACCAAGCAATAGGGCTAATATTTTTAAATGTATTTCAGGCTAATTAAAGATCAAATGAGCTCATTTTAGTTTTATACTCAATTAATTGTTGTCAAATAACTTATATATTTTTTAGTTAATATTTTTGAATAAATTAAGATATTAATATTATACTATTTGCAATAAGCTTTCTTTTATGAAACTTCAGATTCAAAAAATATGCAAGTGATATAACTAGATAATATATTTTTTTCTATTGACTTTCAATATAGGTTTGATATAATTATTTATTTCTAAAATAATAAATTAAAATTATAATATATATATAATTAAATTATAAATATATATATATATTATTATTGGATTCTAAAAGTTCATTATACCAATTATAAAATAATGCTAGTTGTGGAGTATTTGATTTAAATAATGAGATCTCAACAACTAATCTGTCTAAAATTGAAAAAAGAATTTCAATAGTTTTTTAAAAACTCTTATCATTAATAGTTTTATAGATTAATTCAAGTAATATTTCAAAATTATTATATGTTATTTTTGTAATTGTCAACTTAAGCACTAGTTGATTCTGTAAAATTAAATTTAAACATGTTGTTATGGATCCCTACCTTGTTTTAACTAAAAGCTTTAAAAAAATTTAATACTTATAAGTTGCTAGTTGATGTTACTATAAAATAACAATTGGAATTTGGTGTGATCAAAAATATAAAATGATCTTTTTTGCATTTTTTAAAATCCTAACACACTATAATAATTTTATAATATTACTAATCAAAATATTCAAACTATGAGCAACACAACCAAAAAAAAATATTTTGAAAAATTTTGTTTCTAGCAAATGCTATATCTTTTTTATTACAGAAGTATTGTCAATAATTAAAGTAGAAATTTTTGATAGTCCAACTTTAGTAATCATATTTTTAAGTCTTTAGCAATTATTTCACCATTTTGTCATATTTTGCCAGTTGAATGAGCATAAAAAAACAAGATCAGGTGTTGTTAAAATGTAATTCATCTAATACTGTTGTACCAAGTCAGACCACCATCAGATATAAAGCATATGTTTATATCTTTATTAACTAAAGCTTCAATATCACATTTGATTTCATTAAAAATATAATCTAACAATGTTGTAGAAAACTTTTTCTAGCTAGGAAGCTTAAAAAATGATTTTGCTTGTTGCCACAAATCTTTAATGGGTTCCATTTCAGATAGTAACAAATAAAGACCACAGCAAAATACAGATTTCACAAATGCTAACTTAAGAAATTCCTGTTTTCTTTTTGAAATATAATCAGCTACTGATGATGAAATAGATGTGCTTATAGATGTTTCATTATTACTTTCCTCATATGAACTTCCAAAATAATTTCTTTTTCTATTGTTGTTATTTCAATACATTTTCAAAAATGAAGCCGGGCTGGTCTAAGCGAATCATTAATTTGGTGCCTACATTTTATACACTGTCTTCTTTTTTGCTTATACCCAACCACATGTTCCAGCTGACTAAAATATTCCCATATTGAATCCAGTAATGGCATTATCGATGCTTATATACTAATCTTTTTTTTTTTAAAAAAAAAAAATTAATATTAAATAAATAAAATAATGATAATACAACATAATGTTTAAATAATCATTTTTGATTGTTTCAATACCTTTTTACATGCACAAAATCAAGGTTACCGGAAATTTATAAAGGTAAAGACCACAAAAAGACAAAGGTGGATGTGAGTTTTTGTGTTTTTGCTTGTGTGTAAATCAGTTCACAAAAATCTATAGAAAAAAAAAGTGTATAGACATAAGTACCCTGTTTAACATTAAATAAATAATTTGGTTGATTTTTATATAAATACCTTTCGTTGCGTGAAGTTTTACAGCAAAAAAATCCATATAAAAAATGTCTATATGAATGTTGCGATGATTTAATATCAATATTGAATGAATAAATAAATAAAATAGCATGAGCGATAAATAAATCATACAGTAATATTGCTGTGATTTTAAGATAAATACTTTGTTATTATTGTGACTTGAAAATTCAGAAAATCTAAACGAAAGAAAGTCCACAAAACCAAAAGCGCAGGTACAAGTATTGTGTAAGTACATATTAATATTAGCGTTGAATTAAAAAAAAAAATAAAAATGACAATAATAATGTTCAAAGTAAATACCTTCAGTTGCTTCAATTTTCTTTTCGAACGTAAAACCAAAATCAGCATTCAGGATCTTGCAAGAGCGAAGGCAAACAGAAAAAAATGCAAGTGCATGTCACCCAAGCGTAACTTTTAAATTTTATTTTTCTAACGCTAGCTCTTACTAGCACTAGCTTTTACTAACACTAACTCATACTAACTCTTACTTTCGTTAACTTTCAATTGGATCGTGATTATCATCACGATTATTATTTTATGTAGTACGAGCACTTAATTTGTTATTTCCCTGACCCTAACGCATATCGATGGTGGAAATAGCAAATCACTTTAAAAATATATAAACTTTTTTTTTAAAAAAAAGTTAATCATTTTCGTTACAATATGGACAATACTTTATTAAGCCTTTAAAAAAAAAATTATTGAACATTACATGAATAATCGAGACAAATAAAAAATATATAATGGAATTTTCAAAATACAATTGTTGTCTAGTTGTTTTACAAAAACCCATCAAGTAAACGTGAACCGAACTTTAAATACAGTATTAGGTTTTTAATATTTTAAAGTTGGCTGAAGTTGGAGTTAGCGAAGAATTGAATGGTTTAATTGGATAAAAATAACTATGAAACTCAAGTTTGTTCTATTGAAAGCTTTTATACCGTTATTTGTCAATATAAAATTAAAAAATTTCTATATATGTTAAATTTAAAACCAGGTAACCTTGTTCGTAAAGATTCGAATTCTCAACATCGATAGGTTAACATCGATAGGTTAAAAATGGATAAACAAGTATATATATTGTTAAAGTTATTCAGATTGCGACTCGTACCAGGTGCGATGCAAATATTATAAATAAAGTATCTAATCAAGAAATTAATCAAAACATAAGAAATATCGATATACAGTCTAACCTCTCTACAGTCACGCCCTCGGTTCCAAGAAATTCAGTGCTTATAAGAAATTGTGCCTGTATAGAGGTCAAATCTCTTATGTTTTATATACGTTTGTTCTAAAAATTAGTGTGCTTATAAAGAGGGTGTGACTATATAGAGAGTGACTGTATGGAGGGCAGACTGTAGCATAAAAATACCCCAAAATTATGTAAATATAGATTTTAGATAAACACTATAATTAAAGTAGCTTATAAATATGTTATAGTTTTATATTTAGATATATAGTAATTATATAGTCACACGCTTAATATCGGTATTAAATAAAAAGGTTCAAATTCTACTTTACTAATTATCATCTTCATTGTATTGTTTGACATCAGTTCCATTCCATGTTAATTACGGAAAATAATTACGATAATAAAGTTTATAATATAATCCAGGGATTTGCTTGAAATAAATTTAATGTCGCGGATGATCGTGAAATCGGATGATGCTGAAATCTGCTAAAATCCACATATACTTTTTAATTATAAATTCTAACCTAACCCTAAAGAAAAACCCAAAAAATTTTAAAAATTCATATCAAAATAGTACCAAATTTCAGCATCATCCGATTTCAGTATCATCCGTGACATTTAATAAGCCCAGTAATTGAATTGGTATAAGTAATTATCCGACACTCGGTCCGCAAAGTGATACAAAAGTTACGGTTTTGATGCTTAATATCGTTCTTGATACATTCATAGTAAGAATATCAAAAATGCTGTCTCCACTTGTCACATTTGTGTAACACAAAAATCTCAATGAGATCATAAAAACCATAATGTCAGAACGTAAACATTTAAAAACAGTTAATAATATCTGATATTCATTATTCACAAACGCTTGTACGTACTTTTGAAACTAAAAACTATAAAATAATGTCAACTACAGGTTTCATCAACGAATCTTCCGAAATCATGACCTACAAGGGATGTTTTTCTTACAAAGATGATAACATATATGTTATCCACATTGACGATAACGTTCAAGCAAAAATTGAAAGAGTCACCTTAGATATAGCAAGGATATATTTCACAAACAGTCAAGGCCGACAAATTCCTGTTCCAACTGATATTATTCTTAGAAATTTGATTGACAATCAAAATGAACCAATTCATAATAATTCTTTTTATATTGTTTGGATTACTAATTATAGTTTGTTTCGGGATGGAGTTGAGATTTTTAGACTAGAAAATCAAAAACAACAGGCTGTTAAGCCATAGTTTACAAGGAAATGAATATATTCATGCAAATATATAGATAGATTTCTTTTTTCAGCTTCATGTAATTTCTTCATCTAGCCTAACAATAAAGTCTAACAATAAAATGTGTATGCTCTATTAAAACAATATATATGTACACATTCCATTTTCATTCTATGGGTAAATTTAAACTCGGGAGAGAATATAGTATTAATATTATTATATATGAAACATATATGCGATTTTCTGGCAAGGAACCGTTAAAAGATCTTTTACGTAATAACTTTTACCCATTTTCAATCAAATTTCCTATTTGGACGGTTTTACTGATTTTCTTTGCGAATTTGCACCTATTGGTTGAAATGCTCACGTCAAATGATTTTTAATTATATATTTGCATATTTATAGTTGTCGGATAAATAAGTAATAAATAAGTAATGAAAACAATAATCCATTATTTAATTATTTAAATTTGTTAAACATATTGAGCACCTTATATGTAAATATATATAATATATATGAATCGCCAAAACTGATTGTGTTAAATGTAGTATATTAAGAATTTGCTTAGCAAATTTCTAGAAGGTTTAATTTATCCAAGGCTTTCATTTTTATTTATATGATTTATTTTTATGATGAAATATTATTTGTAAAAGTTTCATTTAACGTCATCATTTATGTTACGTATGTACGTACGCGCATGAAAGACGAATTATTGATAATGGATTAATATAATGATAGTAATTGTTATTTTATTGTACGTATTTTATTTTTGCTTGTTTTAGTTCAACTTTAAATACTTTGAAATACTTTGAAATACTTTGAAATACTTTTGAGGTGCATAAGTATAAACAAATTGCCCCACATTTTGATTCTCGTGTTTATGTATCACTAACATATGATTTAATTGGTCGATCAAAAGGTACATTTTATATTGTAACATAATAATAAACAGAATTAGAATTCGAAAACCTTTTATAGAATCAATTAAGAAGATTAAAAATAGTATTAACATACTAAAAATAGTATTTTCTAATAATTAAATTAATTACATATTAACGATATGTAGGAATTAAAAATTAAACGTATCGGGGTATGATGGTAAGTGTTTTTAGGCATGTGCCTAAATGTTTTTATACAGACAGATCTTGATCCAGAAAATAAACATAATTACTTCATATATTACTTATTAAAGATTATTAAAGGATTATTAAAAAATTAATATGTCTATAAGAGAGAATAATGTCTTATAAGAGAGAATGTCCATGGTGAGATTCAACAGAAGACTTGTTGACAAACAGGAATCTTAATATTGAGTAGTGATAGGATTTTTAAATTTCTTAGGGGAAGGACGATCCCAAGAGGATCGAAGCCGAAAGTGCAGTGTACCCGGGAGGGACATCAGGAATAATTTGAATTTCGGTTTGCTCGGAGAATGAGTCCAATCCTTCGATAAGGTGATTAGCATTTATGGCAATATTTTCTAGATCGATACCTTGATTCACGTCCATTGTTAAAGTTATTTTTGAAAGAGTAGAATCGTAAAGGATGGAATTGCAATTAAGGTCTTTTTATAAGAGA